GTCCGGGCTGGGGATTCGAACCCGCCACCTTAGGTGTACGTGGCTGGCGCCTTAGCCAGTTGAGCTATAGGCGCCGAGCCCACTTTACTGTTTTTCAAGAGGATATATGATTTCTTTCTTAAGCATAAGAATGCTTTCTTAAGACTAATAAAATTCAGTTAATTGAAAATAAGTTAATTTATACTTTCTTGGGAATAGTTACTGTGAAAGTTATATTAAACAAAATTTCTAAGATTTGAATGACCATGTATTTTTCTAAGAGTTCATAAGCCTATGCACATAGGCCGTAATTCTTCCTATTTTGTAGGATTATTCATGAGGTCTCACAGTTTAACTCATCCTAGAACAAGTGCAGCATGCCTCATTGCCAAGTATCACTACGATAGGTAACCTTGGCAGTGCTCCCAGAGCTGTGCACTGGCACCAGCATCTCACCCACCCTTCACAGCAGTTCTGGGACTCTTCTTCTGGAATAGCCATCAGAGCTGTCATCATATGAGGTCTGTCAGTTAAGTTCACAAGCTTGCCGCCGTGTGTTCACAGCACTGGACACACAGCTCAGTAAGGTCTCCTGTCCTCAGTGTATCAGTGTGTCACAGCTGTGTGTGTCGGCACGTGGCAGCGTCTTGCTGAGTGCTGCATGTCTTTCTTTGTGTGTCATATGACAGTAGCTGGACGGCCATTCCAGAAAAAGAGCTCTCAGAGTGCTCTGAAGGGTGAACTAGGCACTGGCGTTGGTGCAGAGCTTCCTGAGGGGAGCACTTCTGAAGGTGACCGTACTGATAGTCAGCAACGAGGTATGTAACACTTTTTCTAGGCTGTGTTCTTGAACCTAATTGTCAGACCTCAGAATTTAAGGAAGTTCTTTATTCTCCCTCACTTGGCATGTAGCTATGTTATGCTTATTAACTAGCTTCTAGCTGTCTATTCTTTTTTGTAATATATTGATAACTTTTACATTTATATATGATGTGACTAACCATCTTATTCTTGACTGGCAGAAAAGAACCACTTTAGAGTTATCATTATTACCTATATGAAAATTAGAGTTATCCATATGTACCTATGTGAAAATGCTTTTTATTGCTTTCTTAATTCCATTTGCCAAATTCCATTTAGCACAAAAATGCTAAATCTTTTGCTAAATTCAAAATTTTCCCCTAAAAGGACAACTTACTCTTATGTTTCAAATAATAGATTTAGGGAATTTAGTAATTTCACTGATAGAAAATTAAGCACTTAAAAAGAATAACATCACTACACTCTCTGAGTTAGTTGTAGGAAGGAGCCTTTACTTAAAAAAAAAAGTGTTTTTGGAGTAGTTATAGTTTCAAGGTTAAAAGTTGAAAAGGCAGCTGGGTGAGGTGGTTAACACCTATAATCCCTGCACTCTGGGAGGCTGAGGCGGGTAGGTTACTTGAGCTCATGAGTTCGACACCAGCCTGAGCAAGAGCGAGACCTCTTCTATACAAAAACTAGCCAGGTGTTGGGGCAGGCGCCTATAGTCTCAGCTACTTGGGAGGCTGAGGCAAGAGGGAGGATACTTAAACTCAAGAGTTTGAGGTTACTGTGAGCTGTGATGCCACGGTGCTCTACCTAGGGCGATAGCTTGAGACTCTCTCTCAAAAAAAAAAAAAAAAAAGAAAGAAAAAGCATAAAAGATTATGACTAGAAAGTTTTCTTTCTATTTTTGCTTGTAGCCATCTTGTTCCCCCTCTTTGAACGTAAACCAGGGTTACTAGTTTGTTATATGGCTTTCTCTGTGTTCTATGTGTAGCCATGCAAATGTTAGAATATTTTTGTTTTCCTTTTTCTGAACACCTATAGTAGAGTATTATATGAGCTTCTACCTCTTTTCTGTTTTTTACAGATATATAGCACTCTATTTTAAGGTATACTTTATTTAAACAGTCTAAGGCAGTGGTTCTCAACCTGTGGGTTGCAACCCCTTTTAAACAATGAAAATACATTGCGGCATTAGGATGGTTGAGAACCACTGGCCTTTTTGAAATCTTGCGTTTAGTCACAATTTTATATTTCAGTTTTTCATTTTGTGGCAGTTTTACACTGATAGTTACTAAAATTTTTCAACATGGTTGAAAGTGGTCTCAGAAAATTCTGAGTTTACTTTTTTTTTTTTTTTT